AAGGTTCAAGACAAATGCTTTTATTATGCAATGCCTAGTTCATAGGAAACATTGACAACAGAGCAGCGTACAAGATAACTTTTAGTCTTCTGCGAACTAAGCGAGCAACTATTCCGCGCAATTCTTTGCGCGAGCCCCGGCGTTTTATCCTCCAAGATAGAACAAGTGTTCTTCGAACTGATAATGTCAAACATACCAAAGAGTCCAGTGTCCTTTGTTCAGACCTACGAGCACACGTCTATATATAACTGATGAATAATTGTTAATGGTAATACTTGATTGGCTTAGAAAGCAGAGGTAGATGATATCACAAGTAGCTGAAAAAAAGAACTTTGCACTGAACTACTAGTTCTTTTTTCACGAGGTCTGCATTGATGCAGACCTCGTGAAACATCACGCATTGATGTCCCTTGTAATAAATCCATTGAAGAAAAGAGAATCTGCATAACGCGTTATTGCAGGTTTTACAGATATTTATTTACATCTACTTCAAGTGGCTATGTTGAGCAAGAAAAATAGTTCTTTGAATTCCTTCACTGTTAACCACAGTTCATCTATGAGATAAAAGTCATCTAAGGTCAATCGGAAGCAAAACAGGTATATTTCGACGTTATTGTAAGAAATGATTATTTCTGTAAAGCTTCATATTATGCACTTTTGCACTGTGACGCTTGGAACCTATTTTGTTTAGCTCGGTTTGCAGCTTGGCCAAGTTAGTAACAAACGTGGATGAGAGTATGTGCTTCAGCTAAGAACATTAGCCTGGTTATTGAGTGAACCTAGCCCCATGAGCTTTTAGGGTGCATTGTTATACCACAATACTAATAGAAAAACCTGAGGTTTTATTGCACGATGAAGAATCGTAGCACGTGTGAAAGGGCTCAAGCACTGGGCAAAAGCAAATTTTTATCGACAAAGCGTCTCGATGCGTGCAAATTTAGCAGTGTTGACAATGCTGCTGGTGAGTTACTATATTTCGAAATTTTGTAGTTGCCTTCTGGGTGACGTGGCTTTTTTTATTTTCGGGGAGATTTCTTATTCTGGTGCCCTTTAATGTATAAAAAGGCAAGCACTTTGATCCGGTAAAATCATTTATGCACATTGTATCATTTCAGCTCATTGTGGGTACACACAAGGCGTGTCAAGAAATGTGTCCAATATTCTTCAAAAATCAGTGAGAGGCGCCATTTGCTCGTTCTCTTCAGAGTTGCTTTTTCTGCAGTGGCAAGCATCTCAAGAGGTTTGAAGACATCATTTCGAAAATAATTACGAAAGTTAAATGATTAACTTTAAAATTAGTGGAGTTAGGCAGCTGAGTCAAAGTGAGCATTAAAGTCCCTCATGCAAATAAACCATTGTCAATTTGAGAACCTCTAGTAATAACTGTGAGTCAATGAAATTCTCCTAGATTCAGCGCTGAAACCGAAACCAAGAGGCGTAAGAGCGCAACTGCCATGTTCGTCCGAGACGTCCGTAATGAGGGAGCGTTGTCCACCAAAAATATGAAACGGGGAGTATTTAATAAGTTAACGCTGGTTGGGCTAACACTGCACAGAGTGTGCAAGGATGCAGGGCAACTGGGCATTCCAAACACAGCCCCATAACAACATCATCGTCTTCATTCCTTCAGCGCCATTTCTGCACCCTTGTCTGAGGTACCTTTCTCTACCCGTGACAATATCAACCATCAACCGACTTCGTAGTGTGGACGTGTGTGATGCGTTTGCAATTACAGCACACACGACGCACATACGTTAACGGAAGGGGAAGAACCGCAGCCCTGTAACCGCTGTTTCAAAGACGATAGTCTTTCTTGGGGACCTTCGACGCAAAAATTTTGGTCGGTCTGTCTGTACATCTGTCTGTTTGTTCGCACTTACCGGCACCGGGTACTTGAAACGGCATTAGCCGACGCCTCAAACGGCTGACCCCGTCCTCAGCGCCTACCAATGTTGCTCCAGATTAGGCGTTCATACTTGTGTGATTGCCAGTTAAAAAGCAATTGTTGAGAATATTTGGGGCACCATACCAACACGTATATATTCTGCATGTACCTCTTTTACTAGAAAAGGCATACATAAGTAATTCTAAGGACCGTAACGCTTATCACGCTACCCTGACCATGCAACGCTTGTACGTAAAGACAAGTGTTTCCAACGCTTTGCTAAGGCGAGACGGTGGTGGCACCTACCCGTCCCCTCACGTTCTACACCTTATCACCTCTGACACGGGCGCGCACACCCGTGTCATAGCCGCACGCTTTCTTTTCCAAGAAAATTGCCAGATGGCGCTCATGTCTCACGTTTGACGTGACTTGATGCGCTCGTTCGCCTTCGCTTCACGCTCGAGGCACTCTAGCGCAGCGAACCAGAATATCATTCACCGATTTTCTTGCGCAGAACATCAAGTAAATGTTTTGTTCACTCTCTCCACACGCAAGACAATCGTCTTTCGACGACGTTTGCAGATTACTTGCAGAAAGGGGGCCAATTTTTTAACAGTGACGTCATTGTAGTCATCTCTGCTTGTTGCACTCATCGGTCATTTCCTTTGGAATTCATCGCAGAACTTAGAGAAATTTCACTTTTTATCAGTTATTGCTATACGCCGCTTTTTCAAAATATGAAAGCAACAAAGAGTTCATCACATGAATTACTTCTATTCTCCCATTTGATTCTCCCTGTGATTGAAAAGTTTATAATTGAACTATTTAGTTGCTGCTATAAATAACGTATTCAACCCTCCTAAGATGACCACCGCTACAAAAAAAGCAATTGTGAAGACAGCGAGAAAAAAGCGCTTTTACTGATATTTAAAGCACATCGAACAGACTTCTTTACACGCGCTCTATATATTGTAAAGCCAAACACGTATATGTAGCCTTGTTTTTTTTTAAAGACACGTATGAAAGCATGACAGAAAGATAATCATTGCCATTGACCCATCGTCATTGAAGCAATGCAACTGAAATACCAATACAAAAACAATGCATTAAGTTTAGTTTACATGAGGCAAAGCTAGAAGCTGCGCAATGTTTTATTGTGAGCAACATTCAGTATTGTTTAATATCTGACACGTTACTGTCTTCCTATCTGTGTTTACTCGTGGCTATTGTTGTATACGGCTAATGAAAAAAGAAATATATTTCAATAACGACAATAACATGTGTTGTCTGAGCATGTTTTGTGAATGGTGTGTTGCTATATCTCTGGCATTCGTATTAAACCTTAACAGAGCTTTTTGTTTTTAGAAATGTTCACAGTTTCAGTGCGAGTGATATGAGAAGATAAGCACTCAATAGCTATAACAACAATAGTCAGTTTGCTTCCTAGAGCTTTTCTCACAATTTACTTTGTACGTTTCACTATCTGAAAGCCATCCCTCTTCGTGCAACTAGTGCTCCTAAAGTACGTCGCCGTATAAAAGAAACATTTTTTTCATGTTCGTTGCGCAATGAGCAACTAGGACCACGGAAGAATTCATCCAGCCAAGAAAAATGCATCCTAGGGTTCATGACCTAAAACTCTCGGTAATGCGTCTAATTACTTGTACTACATCTTAAAAGGTGATTACTAAATACATACGCCGTCGTGATGTTGCTTTACAAGTGAGTAATAATTTGCTTATACCTGACACTTTGCTGCACAAAATGCACACACCGTTCCTTTACGTAACTCTAGAAATGTAATATTTGTTATTCATTCCGCTTAGCGAAGCAGCGGCTATGCAGAAACCTTTTTCACCACAAAGCGTTACTTTAAAAATTTGTTTATTTATTCCCCCTAAACCAGGATTGCGCGTGCAGAGGCTGGTTGTTTGATCCCCGTTAGAAGCTGCTTTGGGTGGAGTTAAACACCCAAAGCAGTTTGCTATTTATCACTTTAGTGCTGACGTGTAACCTGGGAGGGAGGAGACGAGGTGTCACGGAGTTACACTTGTACAAACACGCGGCGACAAGACTACGATGACGAAACTCGGGCGAACGAGAGCCCTCGTCGATTAGGTACGAACGCGCACTGAAGTATTTAGCGACGTGGGAGAGCGGGTTCTTGGAAGCCGCATTGAGGCTCCCTTCTTCGATCATCCGCTAAAAAAGATGATGTTGCTCGCCGTGAAGGCTCGAGCTGCTTTATCTTCTACACTCTCACCAAACCTAAACAACACTTACTCCTCCTTCCAACGAGCACTACATCTATCAAGCTAAAGGCTACACAAAACACACGTACGAAACTCACAGTTTACGGTGATACGACGATGTAACTAGTAGATTCATTTTGCTCCCAACTGAAGTGACTTGATGAGCCTGTCGTAACACGTAATTTATCCGCAATGGTTCAATTGTGTTGGTTTGTAAAAATGCGTTCAACATGCCGCGGCCGCTGTGACCTAGCAATACACATTTATCTGGCGTATGCCTGCTACTAAATGGGTCGCGTACTCAATGTGACGATTTCTACGAACATTCTTGAATAATCACGATTGAAAGTAACTATAGATATTCCTTAACTCTAGCACCCAAAACTTCACATTTTTTATGAATTTCTTCTGTTTCCTTCACTTTAGCAAGTGGAAGTCGTTCAAAAATTTAAGCAGCCCCGTGAATTCCTTTCTTTGAAGCACTTTCTTTTGTTGATGCTAAACTCAACAGTATGTTTGCAAAAGTCAAAGAAATACTAGCAGCTATTTTATAATAAAAAAATATGGTACCTGGTTTTGTTTTGCCGTAAGATGATAGAAATATTTTCACAGGTGGCTCCCTGGGCACCACTGTAATGCTTTCTTGGCTGTCATAAAGAGGCTTGACCTCCCAAAAATGAACTGCCGAGACTGTGCCGTCAACCTTTTTACTCCCGTGCGCAGTGCAGCATGGCGGTGTCTTTCCTCCCCTGTGAAAAGGTCTACATAGAGTTTGCAATCTCTTTTTTAGACCTTCAAACATCTATGTTTTTGGTATGAGAAATACGAACCTTATTTGAAAACGCACAAAACGAATCATCTTTGACAACCATACAAGTTACGTAAGAACTAAATTGCTTCTCACACTGCTAATATCTGAGTTAGTTTCTTCTCACAACAATCAGAATCATCTCAATTTTTTATGTAACGTGGACTTTCGAGAAATTATGAAACAAAGTAGTAGTCCCCTTTCATACCACATCACTTCATTAATCTGTCACATAGATACGCTTAGTTAAGGCTACAGCAAAACAAACAGTTGCGATTGTTTAGCTCTAAAAGACGTGCGACGCACAAAGAGTGTCATTTTCTTGAAACGGGTGGATTCACGAGCACCACAATGCTTCCCACAGCATCTTCCGGTGCACTGCCGCAAAAATCACGCTCATAACAGAGAAGCATGCTTTACAAGCTTGCGAAACTAATTCGGCTTTCATTCAGCATCACTTCGAATGCGCGTGCGAGCACAACACGCCGCATCACAGCAACAGCTCTTCACTGTCCATTTTGTTCCGTCTCTGGCGCCATTTCACGGGCCAAGTCGAGTCTTCTCTCACAAATGCGTCCGGCGATTGCCCGAACAGAGGAGACTGCGAAAAGCGCGGCGGAAGTCAGTGTTGAACACGGTGTATATGACGGGGTTGAGCGCCGAGTTCACGTAGCCCAGCCAGGTGATGAAGTTTACGAGCCGGTCCGACTGGACGCAATGGTCGCAGAAGGCGGCCGTCACGTACATGATGAAGAAGGGCAGCCAGCACAGCACGAACACTCCCATCACGATGCCCAGCACGCGGGCAGCTCGCCTCTCGCGCGATAGGGAGATGCGCTGGCGCTCTTCCCAGCAGGTGAACACCTTGACGCTGGGAGGCCGCCCGTTCTGCTCCAGCGTCACGCTGGTGTCAGCCAGCGACGGCCGGTTCTCCGTAGTCTGGCCACGGTGTTGCGGCGGAGGCGTCTCCTCCGACGACGACGGGTGACGTTCTTGAAGGAGCGCGGCCGAAGGCTCGACGGTGGCTGCGCAGCGGGTAGCGGAGCTGGGTACCTTGGCGGCGGCGTTGGCCCGCTCTCGCAACCTTCGTCGGGTTGCCAGAAAGATCTTGAGGTACACGATGCTCATGATGAGCAGTGGTATGAAGAATGACCCACTTGCCGAGTACAGGACGTAACCGGTCTCCTGCACGGAGATGGACGCCAAGTATTATAAACGTATAATCATCCAATGGATCGAGTAAATATGCCAATCTCTTGTGAATAATTTTATCGTTTGGCTCACAAAAAAGTATTTTTCGATCAAGGGCCAGATTGGTTGATAATTGATGTCTTTTTAAACAGAGAGATAATAAAATGATCGGAACACAACCAGGTCAGTAAGATTTATAGCACCCGGTTTCCTACCTTACATTACAGGAAAAGGGGGAAAGAAATATGAAGCGCGTGCACTTACCGACCGCGCCGCCACAGGTCAACCCCATCTCACTGAGTTAGAGACCAATCGGGATGCACCGATAACGTACAACGACATAACAAAGCACTTTTACTTTGAACGACACATTTTTCCACCCCCACATCCGAAACGTAACAGACCGCAGGTATTAACCCTACGCCTATTACAGACACACACGTACCCTAACCTTGCCAAGCTTCACGTTTATTATCCTAATGCATACCCCAGCAACACATGCCCCTCGTGTGAATAGATGGCGTCACTCGCACATATGCTTCGGGTGTGTAAAAACGCTCCTCCCGACTCTGCCTCAAACAAGCGGGAGAGGTCCCTCAGGAGCTCACTTCTCGCCGACCAATAATGAGCCGTCCAGAAGGCCCACGAAGCGGCCGCCAGGTACTCGCTGTCAGTCCCTACGAGGGAGACGCCCGCTGCGCGCTAAGCGTGTCCTGTAGGACTAAAATAAAGTTTTTTTTTTCATTTCATTTCAAATATGTAGAGAGCTTAGGAATAAACTTCTAGGTTCTCAATTTGTTTAACGGTTAAAAATATGCTTTATTTGATTCTTCAGTGGATGTTCAGGTAAACAAAAGTGGGTAACTTTTTTACAAACGAGTGAGGTAATCGGTGGTGGGGGAGCAATTCACTACGAGCCATTGAGTCATCCTCTAGCACAGTCAAAAAATAATATTTATGACTGCCGAAGCGATGACGCGCACGAAATTGTGAAACATTGACAAGTAAACCCATTCTCTGAGAAGCGATAGGTTCTTACATTTCCAATCGCAACAGTTACAAAATTTTATGCAGCCGAGCACATTTCTTCCACAGACAAACTCCAGCAATGTAGAGGGCGTAGATAAAACTTTTTGTGTGGTTGGAGGGAGTGGAGGGGTGTGATCAACAAATTATCGTCAATATTCGTGCATGTATGTACACACATATGCCATTGAAAAAGAGAAAAAAAGGGTTTGCCTCTTTCTACTTCTTTTCTTGTTACGCCAATATAAACGCCAATACAGTGCCTTCGTAGCACCTGCCCTGTGTTCAATGTGCAGGTATGCAATGTAGTTAGAGCACGAGTTATATTGCTACGATGTTTTTGTTAGTACGTGCTTGTTTATACGAGTTTGTCAACTTTTTTGAACATGACATAACCTCGGAATGGCTTCCAAGTTATTGCGGAATAATTGAAAATGAACAGGCCTATCGAGCTGCTCGTTCTGAGCATACTGAAAGCAATCAAATATCGATTCCGCTCTCCACGCTGCGCGGAAACTCCGCATACTTGCTCGCAAGCGCACCACGTTGCAATGAATTTTCACCCAAGCACCATTATGTACCTTAGACCCTACCCTCAGTCTTCGAATTCGTCCAGAACTTCGCCGACGAAACGCTACTATATGCTGTGCAGGTTATAGTTTGGTGCCGCATTTACCAATGGGTACGCGTTCCGCGTAGGAATGACCGACACTGCTGCATGTGACCGTTGCGGTAGTGACGAAACAACTTGGAATATTCTGTGTGAATGCCCAAAATATTGCTCGCAGAGACAGCCACTTCACAATGCACTCGGCCAACTGGACAACCAGACTCTTTCGGAAGAAAGAATCCTGCGCTACCGAGAGGACTCTATATCGCAGAAGAAGGCTGCGCTCCTTGCATTTAACCGGCCTCTCCAAACGACTGAAATCTAAACGCCCTGCATGTGTGTGAATGTGTATTTTTTCTAATGTATTTTATATCTCTCTATTTCTTTTCTCTTTTCGACCCTCATTTCCCCACCCCTGTACAGGGTAGCAAACCAGTTCTTCTAGGTTAACCTCCCTCTCTCTTCCCTTTATTTATTTTTCTCTCTTGTGACTTCACAGACAGACTTTGACAGACACCAACCAACTTGGACATAATAGAAAATGAAGCAAACACTGCCGTGTCTTACAAACCTGTGTCAGTCGGCAGGGCGTGGTCTCATCGAACTGCTCGGGCCAGTCGTTCCAGCCGATAAGTGGGGGCACTGAGATCAGCGCGCTGATGACCCACACCAGAAAGATGGAGAGCAGCACTCGGCGTAGCGTGCGTTTCTGGGCGTAGTTGATGGGGTCGTGTATGGCCCAGTACCGGTCCAGCGCTATGGCGCACAGGTTCAGGATGGAGGCCGTGCAACAGAGGACGTCACAGGTGAGCCACAACTCGCAGAAGTGCAGACCAAACACCCAGCGACCCATTATGGAGTAGGCCACGTTGAAAGGCATCACCAGGAGCGCCACGGCGATGTCAGCCAGGGCCAGCGAGACCAGGAATACGTTTTGTACGGTGCGCAGGGGCCGGTGGTTGAAGACGGAGCAGATGACCAGCACGTTACCGACCACGGTGAAGACGGTGATAAAGCTTAGAGACAGAGCGGTGCCCACGGCTTCCTGCACAGACATAGCGATCCCGCTCGGGTAGGCTTCCACCACATTATCCATTTCGAACGACGACGTATTAACCGCTTCGGAAATGACCGTAACGCTGGGCGAGGGCGCCGTAGTCCAGAGGACTTCACCATCCTCCTCCATCGGTCTCGTGTGGGGTCTCACCATGTTGTTCGCGGGATTAAGGTGGAATGCTATTAAACGAACTCGGCCTAATCGTAGACGAGAACGTGGTTCGCAGTGAGCACGCCAGTTGATGGCACTGGTCTTCGCAGTTTGTTATCATGGCCCAAGTTGCGCTTGTAGAAAACCGCAGAATGCTTCAGAGATGAGGTTAAGTGAACCTGCAGAAACCAAAAACAAAATTAGCATGGTTTAAGAGCGACCTCATAATTGTTGCTCGGCACGTTGAACGCAAAAGAATTGGCATAGGTAATGAAACGAGCTGCTGTGTCTTTCACTGTTTTTTTGAGAATAACTTTGTGCATTGTTGTTTGCAATAAAACTCGGTGGTTTGGATTAAAGAAAAAAAAACCCACCGAGCTTGTTTGACCTTACTATCTACCCAGTGAAAGTTGCGGTACAGTGACCGCATCTTGGTGCTCCTTTCTTGAAATCAGCGAATTTTACAGACCATTCATAATATTTAGGACAAGAAATATATCTTCATGAATGTTAAGGACTAGGAAAGCGCACACTAGAATGACATTTTTTCGCACAATGTTTTCACTTGCGTTATTACAAAAAATCTTGTATGGGCGGGAAATATGGCGAACTTAATATTTGGATATGTCTTGCACTAATCAACCCGTATTTACTACTCATTCTTCATTTTCCCAATGCTGATATCAATAACTGTCCATCGCTGATGAATAAACTCTACTTTTTCTTGACATTCAGTTGCATGAAAATATTGAATATCATGTATGACAATAATTCTCTTTCTGTGTGCTAACACCTGCATAAAACATTTTCGTACAGGCAAAGTAACCCATATTGAGTTTCGGTGCCTTCAACGTTTTCTGTCACTCCTAGGTTGTAAAGAAAAAAAAACATAGCTGCCTGAAGAAAAGCTTACTCCACCTCAAAAGTGCCTCAATAATTTTTCGAAAAAATTAATCCTGAATAATAAGCTACACCTTCTCATTTTTGCTTCGGCGGGGTCGGATTAACAAGTAATTATAGATAGCAACATATTGTTCACGGCACCATCACTGTCTTAGTGCTGCAGCAGTCACACTTTAATAGGCGCCTCCTAACTAAGGCTTACGTTGGATTTTAAGCAAGTTAACGCCCTTTACCTCGCGTAGGAACAAGTCCTAATTTAGGATCTGGAAAATTAGACATCAAGGCAAAACGCAAGGAGTTTGTCTATGAAAAGTTCCGGTTGGATACTCTACACTGAAGGATTGGTAAAGGGGTATAAAAAGATAAGGGATATCGAGAAAACAAAGAAAATGATGGGGCAAGTGAGAGACAGTGAATTCATTGAAGTGTATGGGGCTGCACAACAAGTCAGGGGCATTCTCAGAAGCCCGTAGTCTTCAATTGGCTAGGAAGTGCCTTTGCTCCTTTGGAGGCGGGTACGAGATATTACATGTACTGGGGGTGTTAACAAAATTTCATTTGTTTCTTCTTACTGCCACGCACTCAGTCGTATTTATGAGCTACATTCAATAAACTGCCTATTCTTTGCACTCCAGTCTATTGTGCGCAACATAAAAGTGGCACGCCTTACCAACATAATAATTTGACCCATGGAAACATATTGAAGGGCCCACTTCTTGTAGAATGAATAACTGCGCAGCTGTTTAGATTTTGGTTCAATCAACGAAAAGTGCGAAGGTAAGTCGGGCACGTTGAATTGTGATATTGAACTGCAGAAATGTTTAACATAGATCTAAAGGGACGTGTTCTTTCTTTGAATTGCATTCAATAACATACCTATAAAACAACTTGTAAATTAACAAAATGTTTTTGACAAATAACAAGCTATGAAACCGGTATTACTATAGCCACTCTTTGGCTAAGAATTTAGAGTAAAAGGAAGTCATGCATTTTTCATCAGCTCAAATTGTGGAGACGATATTTGAAAAATTAGAAAAGTTTGTATTGAACGGCCTATTCATAGACATAATTAAATTTTAGCACCATTCAACGGAGGTCCCCCGACTGTTTACTGAAAGAAACTTTTCACTCAGGAAGAAAAAGAGAGGAATGCACGTGTCACGTAGTGCACTATTCAGTGTCACGCTTGATATTTAATTTCACAGCTTGAATAAATTAAGTACAATACACTACTAGCGAAAGTGTATATTTCAAAGACAGGATTTGTATCATACGAATGTATTATAAGAATACGAATGGACAGGATTTGTATCATACATGGTCAATATTTCCGGAGCTTTCTGCTGTGACATCTCTCATAATCATATGATGGTTCTGGGACGTTAGACCCCATATTATCAATAAATCATACGAATGCAAGCTATTACAGCCATTTTATAGTATACAAAGTATGACGCGTGGGGGTATCGTTTAGGATGTTCATTGTCGTAACTGCTGTTCTTTATTGACACACGTCATTGCTTGAGCCGGACAATCTGTACGTACATGGCTCTTTACGCATAAAAGCAATATCAAGGCTTATCTCACTCAGTTCACATTCGACATGGAACGCACTGGTAAGAATGCTAAACAAGATCATTTGAGCCTGTGTAGAGTAGCATGTAGTCTTCCTCTTCAGTGTTAATAATATTAATAATACATGCGCTTTCACGTCCCAAGACCATGATATAATAATGACAGATGCCGAAGGACAGGGTTTCAGAACTTTGGAGCCTCTGTTACTTTCTTTAACGTGAGCTGACATCGCATAGCACACAGTACTACATCGTTTCAGCCCCAATAAATATAAGATGGCAGTGGTTCTAGTAGAACCCGCGACTTGGGCATTAGCAGCCGAGCACCGTTAGCACTGCACTGCCACAGTAGACTGCCACTTCATTGGTAAATGGTGCATAATTTAATTTGAACCTAAATGAAGGAGGGAACAAAAATAAAACGCACTCGCAAGTACTAGAGATGGTGGTATCTATATTATAAGGACCCTGTTACACGTGATGTTCAAAGTTTTCTTTAAACAAACTGTTGTGGAGTTCTCACATCCGTGTGTCAACAACAGTCACTGTGTCACGAGCAGCAAACATTATTTCCCTTCCACCGTTTCATTAAACTTGTCATGCACCCTGAAATCATTCATGGTATTATTTTTTACCTCTTCTCATATATTTCTTACAAATTTTTATGTGTTAACAGCATCTTCATAAGAGGTCGCAATATGTCTAGAGTGTAAAAAAGTACGCGAATGCAGCAGTGGCATTCCATCTTTCAGTCATGGTGCTCTTGCTGCCTTCTTCTTTCCTAGGTGTCTCCAACATTCACAGATAGTATACAAATAGAAAATGCACGGGAGAACATGCCGACTCGTCGCTCTGTATCACTGCCCTCGCAATGGCTGCCATGAGTGCCGGCACCACTCCATCTGTATTTATTTTCCTTTTTTCGCAGAGGCAGAGCAATTTAATCTTCACGATGTGACGGCTCCAATATCCGCACTTTTCGGAGGCCTTTTCCAGTTTATCCTTCAAGCCTACGAGGCTGCTAAATTTAATTTCTCAGAAAAGTCCAGCATGGCGTAAAAATGCCCCCATGCTATGTGCCATTAAACTGAAGGATCCTGTAGCGTGACGATAAAGTATAAAAAGCGGCTGTAGGCTTTTGTAAACAAAAACAAGGAACCCAGAGATTGGATTTTAAAATATTATGCTTCCTTTCGCGTAACTTCTTCATGCCACTAGCAGTGATGTTGTCATTAAAGCTTTAATTTTTACATCAATTCAATTTGAATCTATTTATTTTCCTCTCAATGATGAAGGCAAGCTCGGAAGAAAAGTGGCGTATGTCATTCGAGGAGATCCTAAGCCCTCTAATACATGGCAAGACAGGAGGACATGCGTAAACATATATCATGGATCATAGGCCGTGAACATAGGCAGTTAAGATATATCAAATGTTTTGATACAGTACAAATGAGAAACATTCTTTTAAAGTAATTATATGCAGATGAACTGATATTGGTAAGCAGTTTTTCACCACACAAATTCAGATGTTCAATGCCAAATATGACCGAAGTAGAAATACTTCCTATAAATTAACAATGTCATGCCTGGAAACACGAAATTAATAAATTTACAGAAATGTATACATATATATACACCAATACACCGACACATATTCGTGCAGTTTTATTATTACTTGAACCATCATTTCTCGACTTTCTCAACAAAAGCTACGCAGCTTTGGTTGTGAATAATCCGCCATTTCTCTATTAACGCAGTTTATTTAGTCGTCCTGGCACGCTTTCATTTCTATATTTTCGAGATACCAGCGCGGTTTAATATTTTAGAAAGGTTTCTTTCAGTTCTTTTTATGAAAAAATTGCGCTTGCTTCTAGGATAGACCACGAAAGTTTTAAGGCTGAGAAGTATCAGTGAACTAAAGGTAATAATGCCACTCTGCTTGATGTGGTCGACCTTTTTATACAAAACATTGTCCTGAATGAACGTACGCACAAAATCTAGTTGGTTACTACCTTCTTACTAAGTACTAGGTGATATCGATGCCCGGCATGAGTAGCGCATCAATAACACTGTCGGGCATTTTTAGCACCCAACTTGCCATTTACGTGTCATTAAAATCAACCACAAATACAATATATATATATATATATATATATATATATATATATATAGAAAGAGAGAGAGAGAAAGAGAGTTTAAAATATTATGTTCATTTATATACATTATTATACATGCGTTATTAAAAAGTCGCAAGTCTGGTTCCTACCAACGGCAAGTTCTCTTTTCACCCACTTTTCTTTCTTCACGATTACATTACCATTCGTTCTGATAGCGGTCTGATACGGTATGATACGAGTTCAGCTGCCAGCTCGTAATAAGTTCACGTGCTATGTGACGTCACGAAGGCCCATGAAGAGTGTGCCACACTCGCCCCCGTGGCTACTGGTGGGGCTGACTGACAAGCTCACGTTTAAATTCACATATACCAATTAAAGTGGCTGGGGAGATAGCCGTCGTGGTAACTCAGTGGTAAAGCATCGAACGTGTTATTTGAAGGTCGCAAGTTGGGTTACTGCACACAGCAAGTTATCTTTTCACGCACTTTTCTTTTCTCACATTTACATTACGATTTGGTTTGATAGCTTCCCCAATACTTTCCTTGGCATTATTGTCTGTTAGTTTTTATTAATATTG